ACTTGTCTTGATTTTCTCTTAGATTTATTTGCATTATCCTATCTCTGCTAGACTTGTTTATCAGCGAGTTTTTCTAACGTTTTCTCGTAATTTTCAGTCTGTCACGTCCATTCGATGGGCCATTCATGTTCATTTGTTTCTTGTTGGAGCAGGTATTTGGTCATTAAAGAAAATAGAGGCAACTTTATTGGAAGAGAACATTCGAGAACATTTTGTTTCCTTATAGTGTTTCCTTAATTTTTATTTATTATTCGATATTGTCGTTCAGATAAAAATGTTTGCAATTGTAATTAAATTATCTACGGCTGTCAATTTTAGATCTTACAGTCCCAAAAGAGTCCGATTATAAATCCTGTCGGTTAGCTCGTAACAATAACAAATAATATACTAGTTTTTCCTTTGAGAAGAAAGCAAGGGACGTCTTCATTCATCGTTTGCGTCCCTATAAAATTTTATAATAGTATAAATCAAGATTTTGCGACCACGGCGATATCTATAAATATACCGCATTGACGAGCTACGAGATATTTTGACGCCCACGAGCTAGAGACAGGCGACGAACAGTAACGTGCGAAGTATATAGCTACTTTTCTCTTTTTATAAATTTATTTATACTCGCAGCTTTCATTCATGCTTCTACTCTATTCTTGTTTCTCTCGTCTGTAAGCTAGAAGCAGAAACGTGTAAGTTTATAAAAGTCAGACGACACCTTCTCAATAAATTTATATATTCTTTATTACATTTTAAAACTACTGACATTTTACGTAATCACGACAGTTTATGTTTTATTCCTGAATAAAAAATACAGATTTTAGATTCATTCGTTGGTCAAAGAGTCATTCGAGAAAATGTCTAACAAACAAACTGTACTCGTTAGAATATTCGTTTTGAAAGTGACGGACAAAGTGCACACTTACGCAGCCACGTATCCATTCTAAATGTAGATCATAAATAAATAAGTATGCGAGTGCGAACGTTGTGTACGAGTATTCTATTCATATCTGGCACGTACTGAAATATTAAGTAACCGATGTTACGCAAACCAGGGGACTCGACGATAATCGATGTAATCATCAACGCATAATCCGCTCAGATGTATTCAGCAGATACGCTCATTTCGCGAGACCGTGTTTTTGTCGCCCTTGTAAGCACATCGGAGTAATGGCCCGGAAACAGTTACTTAATATTTTGAACGCTCCAGCGAACTATTGAAGCACTACGCCGGGGAGCTGAGTTTAGAAACGTTTGAAAAATTGCGCGGGGTCGATAAGTTTCTGGTGTTAAAGATGAAAAATTACCCGGAAAATATCCCTTTCGCTTCGAGCGAACGAACGTCTCGAAAAGACCAGCGTAAAGAAAATGAAACGCACGAGGGGGGGGAAAAAATCCATCGACCGACGAACGATTTATAGACATTTTAACCTTTTTAACTTGGTTCGAAATACGCCACAAATTCAGTCGCCGAACAATAAGAAACAGTGACGTCCTCCATTCCTATCTATTGGCAATCGCTGTTTCGTTTTGCTTTTAATAAGTCACTTAAAATTGTCGCGTTTGGATTTAAACATAGATTGTAACGCCAATTAAAATAACGAAGGGAGGTTATATTACACTTTTAGATTGGTTAATGGTTTTATTATGAAGGTGACGCAGAAATAACTGCGCATTTCAAATACTTTGCTTGTTGGTTATTTTTAAACCGCTTATCGATACAAGGCATATTAATTCGTTGTTGGAAAACTCTTTTTGCGCTAATTAAAAAAATATGCTATGCATTTCTTTGCACTTGCATTGTTCGTTTCGAATCGAAGTTAGTCTTTTAGAGTCTTTGATCTATCGGATTATCACCTATTTTGAGCCGGAGATGATTCATCAGCGATGACTGTATCAAACGCGAATGCGAGTAGCTTCTTGCATCCAAAGAGGCCTGGTCTTGCAGAGGAATGCAATCGTAAAAAGAGAAAATCGTAGCTCGTCATGCTTGAGACTACGTTTCGTTGTAGTTATTTAGTAAATTAAAATTTTGAAATGCACATTATTTTGGGGGTTCTGTCTTTTGTTTTAAACGAGTGAACAAAGTTAGCCTAGAATAAATAAATTTTGAAATACTCATTTCATTTTTCAAGAAGTATTCACGATTTATAACGAACAATGTAACGTGATACAAGGCAACTGGCAAATAGTAGAGTAATTTTCGAAGACGTAAAGTAACAAACTTGGAAGTATTGCGCGCCGTTGGTACACGTCATTCTCTCGTTGCACGCGATGCGTCGAGTTCATCGCGCTAAGTGCAGCAGACCCCCCGTTCGTCCTGAAGTTGACGAAGACCGAGGAAAGTTCCGCATTTCCGTTTCGCAGGCGCGACGTCATTAAAACTTTATCAATGACGGCATGTCTAGGCGGTCCTGGACGCGCGTATCGCAACGCATGCGTGTTCCGCTCGGTACGCGCGCGGCAAAGTCTAATTATTGATCAGCGCGTTCCGGCACGTGAAAAGGGGGGCCTTCTTTTTGTTTTCCGGAAGTGTCGATGACGACACACACGTTCCGTGTGTTTGTTATGCCGATACCGTGCTAAAAGTATCGATAACGCGTTTCCCGAAGTGGCCATTTTCAAGTGCCGCCAGCAATCCGATGCTCTTACCCCATTGGCTTAAATATTCCCGACAGATCGCGCACCAGCGTGAAATTTCGCCCACGTAATCTTTAAATCTTAAAACCGAAGGGGTGGATAAGCCTCAGGCATTTTTAACCATTACGAACGAGACGGTCTGACGCACACCGGGCCATTCTACTTCTTAACTCTAAGCGTCTACGTCAGTTTCTATATCTCGTTCCAGCAGGTCTATGTTTAATTAAGGGGAATTTTTCTATGATGAGAACGATACGATAGGAAGTATAGCAGGAAAAACGATTATTTTATCGAGCAGGGTAAACTTATTTTTCATGGCGAATATGGATTCCAAATATTAGGAGAAATGTAACCCTTACACGTTGCCATGAATTTCTTTGCCCAAACTGTCCCGACATCGGACCAAGTGAAACGAAATATGTCTAGACAGTATAGACATAAGACCGCAAAAGGTTAAGCTTCGCGAAAGAAACATCTCGCGTGCAGTGCACCGTTCCATTTCGCACATTGACGAGACGGAGTCTCGCCTTTTTAAGCATTCCCATTTGCTGGTGTTGATTTCAAGCGATTTCTAAAGCAAAGGATTATCAAAATATTTTAGCAAAAGGGGTTTACAGAAACGCGAATAACTCTGCTGTTTCAAAAGAATTTTACTTTCTAAAACTTGGTGAATAAAGTTGAAACTTCCGTTCGTATCCTCTGGAAAAATCTAAACATTTTATTTAGCGATTACCTATGAAAAAAATGTACAGCCTTTATCTATTTTTAGACGCTTCGTAGTGGTGTTCCCCTTAATCCGATTATCGAGAGATACTCCAGCCTGAACATGGAAAATCAAGAGCTCATTTGGAATTTTATAACATGATTCTGAAGTAAATGTACAAAATATTGTATCAATGCGTTTGCACCGAGAAATGATTAATCTATACGAGAATTATAGTTTAAATGTTGGCTTAAATTTTTGCAATTGTCCTATTGCGTGGCACAGGTTCGTTTCGGTATTTATGGTGAGGCAAACTACTGTTTCAACTGTTCCATATTTATAAATGCAAAACAGTGATAAGATAAATAATAAGTTACCAGCCGTAACGGAGGAGTGGCATAAATCGCGTCGTTGTTTTTAATGTCAGACAGGATGAAGATAGACTTTTGTGTAACGACGGTTTTATTGTCCGAAACGAAACGCGAAGCTTCAACGAGCAAGTCCACGCGAACGGTTCTGTTTTCGTATTATACTAAGGCTTATTGTTTATTCAGCGACGCCATTGTAGCGGCTAGAACGCTACTGTTTGTTAACCGCTTTTTTCCAGCACTGCTAATCTTAACTACTCGTGGAAATGTCAAGAGCAAATCGCTTAATGACACGACTTAATAGCTTCTACTTAAACGAAAGTAACGAGCCACTCTGATACTATAGTATGCCCTAAAGTCGCGTGACGATGATGCAAATGTAATCGACGTGAAAATTATTTCGGGGACACAGCCAATTTAATATTTGCAGTGCTCTTAATTGTTTCGTAATCGTCGGAATTATTGTAAAAAGTATTCGTTTAATCTTAAAGTAGAATAAATCACGAAAATAATACGCAAACCCATCTACCCCGTACAGATTAAATTAAAGTGATAAAAATTTCATTTCGCCACTTTTTCTTCTAATGAATGTGTCCTTGTGAAAACCATAAAGGAGCTTCTATGTGCTTAGTGGTTAATGGCAGCATCCTCTTTAATTTTTTACAATTTAAATGTGAACATTGTAGAGTAACTCGTTGCACGTTGCGAACGTTCGTATTTACGCCAGCTGCTTGTGCTATTTACCTTCCTGACGAATATGAATTGAAGGCTTCTCTTAAAATAGCACGTCTTGCACGAGAATTAATTGCTTTCGAACGACCTATGTTCTTCTTTTGTCTGTGCATTTCCGGGTTTCTAGATCAATTGCGAATAAATTGACAATTTTTATGGATATTATAGGACACTTCTGATACGTTTAAATTTCTCTCGCGTTTTCTTTTTTTTTTTAGATTCAACCGAATTCTGAAAGAATGCAGTCACTCTGCGACGGTTGTTTAAGCTGCAAATCAAACTTCCAATGTACTTCCTGGTTTGTAAAGTCCTGGATAATCCTTTAAAGCTAATACCTTGAGTGGAGAAAGTTATAATTGCATTGTATATACAAGGTAATTCTACTAACTGGGTCATGCTATAACTTTGTTCCGAGGGAAGATCGAAAAAAAATTATAAAGGAAAATTTTACATAGTCTCCTGTCTTTCTTGCGGGATTTTCTAGGAAAGAAAATATATTTGCTCCCTTTCGTTTCAGTAGATAAATCGTATCCGTAGGATACAAGTAATTCTTAAATTATACTCACTTCGTTTCGGGCTGTGAGCTTGCAGGTGAGCCGTAATAATGTCGTATTGTTTTTCACGTTTGATGCTGAGATAATCCTTTCGGCGCAGTTGTCTGATGAGTATACCACCGATATGATTAATATGGTCGTTCAAGTTCTTCACTAAAACTGCGAGTTCGGTCGTGCCTGGAATATTGAAAACGTTTCACAAATTAATTCATCTTCAAAAGAAAGTTTCTAGCGGTATTTCCCCCTTCGAGCCAAACATTTTTGTCTAACGAGTGAACTGTTCGTGTGGTCTCTGCTTGGAATTCTCGAGAATGTCGAAAGCTTGGAGGATGTCTGCGCTCGATGGAAAGCGCGACGTCGACGAAACGCAGCGTGCGAAATCTAAAATGTAACGAGCACGCACGATGGTCGAGATTGCAGGAGGTATTTTGAAATTGAGGAGGGCGCGTTTATTTCAGTCTGGGTTAGGGCGAGACAAGGCGAGACACCGTCGAGGGGCCTTTGAATTGGAGCCGCAATCTTGATAACGGCCCGAAAGGGCTCTCCCTGTGTACACACTCGTCGAAGATTGCAGTTTTCCAACTCTTTTCGCGGTTACTTATGCCCCCTGCGTTCCTCGATACCGCTGGAACGGAAACCGCCGAGACCAGAGCTATTTTCTTTGATCATTCTGATCACGAGCTCAGATGTTCTTAATCGCGGGTCGCGGAAGCCCGCGTGAGCTCTCCTTAACCGAGTTAACCGCGTTAACTTTCGCGTTAAAATTTAAATTGCGCAAGTTCTTGAAACGCTTCGGCCATCTTCGATGCAAAATGTCGTCGAAGAAGTCTATCCGGGGCTCCGGATCGCGTTACCGGTATTTATACTTTGATCACGTCTTGGTCCTGATCGCGGAATCATCAGAGATCGACCTAACTTTTGACTTTGTTTCTCGACGTACCGGGAATGTAATGCGGGCGTCGATTTATGCGAAATAAAACGACGTTTCCTCATGGGTTTACTGAAGTCCGCGCAATCTCACCCCTGTTTTTCCCTATGCATGCTCAACGAGGCGAAACGAAGTAGCATCGTGTATAGAGATAAAAGAAGTGGTTCCCCCTTGAAAAAAAGAAGAAAAAGTAGCACTCCAAGTCAAAGAACCTTCTTGCCTCGAAGTCAACGAGGTCGCTTGTCTGTCTCGGCACTGCGACCTCTTGTCTCGTCAGCTTCTGCCGAAGTGTCTTCGCCTAATTCGGCCAGATTTCGAACTATGCGCGCATAAATCTGATACCACGAATAAACACGTTATCTGGAATAGATCGGCGTAGAAATTTACTCGGTGAATTGCTATCTTCAGCCTCGAAACATTTTAAATAGTCGTGTAGAGTCTCGAGTATTAAAAAATAGATTTATTTTAAAATAGAGTATCTCGTTTTTGAGTACAAGCGGAACGCAATAAATACGTATTAATGTATTATCATCCACGGCAGGTTCTCTGTTGAAATTGAATAATTGTGAGAGAATAAACGTGCACTTTCTCCTCATTTTGAAATTCCAACTGTTAAACGAGCGCCGTCTGTGCTTCCACAATAAACGTCCTCGAGCTAAACATATTTATCAGACGCCCACGTTCGTTCCTTCCTCTTTCCCGTGTTATGGACGTTTCTGTCTCTTATTGAATTACACTTACTTTTCCATAACAGACGTGCCTTTTGCAGATGCTGATGTTGCGGACGCGTCTTCAGGGATGAAGCTGTCGAGTCGCTTTCCGATCGTCCCCTGTCACCGTCTGGCAAACCGTAGATATCCTGCAGCAGCTGATCCACCAACGAAGAAACTGTTCCTTCTTTTCTCTCTAGCGGAATGGGTAGAGGCTGCGGATAGCTCTGAAAATAAAATTCTTATCAGTCGTATGTTACAATGAAAATGGAATATCCGGAGAAAATTATGTTCCACGAGTTTCGAACTTCTTACATCTATCCAAAAGCAACAGGGATGTTAATTACCTTGTTTTTGTAATCAAGAGTATTTCGTTCTCGCGGATAATCGATTGTGCCTTAAAGGGATAGACTAGTCTACAGCAGTATCAGTTCTAAATTAGTCAGACTTCTCAAAATTTGTTACGCAATATCAGAGTATACTTTAAGGTTAACTAACGTTAGAAATTCCAAAAGTTATGTGATCGGATCTGGAAGAAAAATTTTACCTTCGGACATCTAACTTCAGTTTCGTTCTTCGTGCTCTTGGTGCTGTTACGATCATATTCGATCTCGTGTCTCGCGTCTCCGAACGATTTCGATCTCTTTATGGATTTCTTCGTTGGTTTCACCGACACGAAACTAGCCCTTCTGATCGGTTTCTTCTTGTTCATTTCCATGAAATCGGGACCCTCCCAGGCCCTGTGTATCAGATTGCAGTTTCGTTTTCTGTACAAGGAGGGAAACTGATATCCATCGGCACAATAAAGGAGATTCCTTGTTTGCTGAGTAACATAAACGTCACCGAACACACGCTCGTTCTCCACGGCCACGCATTTCACGCGGTAACTGATTTCCGCGTACTTTTTCAACGGCATCACGTTGCAACTCATTTTCCATCGGCGTCTTTAACAGGGATCCTCGATTCGACGAACGGTCGCGCAGGTTTTTTCCAATCTTTTCACAGAACGAAACAGAGGAGCGATCGCCTGGCTCCTCGCCGCCAAAAGGTTTCGCGATTCCAAAAAATGTCTTCACATTTTCCACTTACGATTGTGCTATCTGTATTTAAACTCGACCCACACCTATCTCGGGAGTAACACTTTTCACGTTAAATTGACGCGTCAACGCGACAGGACGTTAGTTACCGGCGCTGTTGGTTGTTCCTCTCGTTTCGAGTCGCGAAGATTCGCGTCATCGAGCAACTTCAACGCGGAAACTCATTAGCAGGCTACAATGCGAAGCAACTTCGAATGCAAATTTGTTAGCGCCGGGCGTGGGTATAAATTCGACCGAATATAAATGCCTCTGTAACCGTAGGAAACGTTTCCGACGAATCGCGAGTCCTCGTGTTTCCGTAAATTCAGAAGTCCGCGCGGACAGATAAAAAAAGTGCAATGGAAATTAACATAATTAAGCAATTTTTTTCACCACATTTCCCGTCGCCGGGCTGACAGATAAATTACCGGACAATACTCCTCTGACACTTGTACACGGGACAGAGATAAAGAACGACCTTCTTCGCAATTGCAATTATCTAACATTTATCATTTTTGATAAATTCCTACTACCACTGTTATGAAAATCAAGGTTCAGGAAGTATCGACGAAACGCACGGCCGCGTTCTCGTTCCTAGCAACTTTATTCGTTCGTAATAAAATTTCTCGTTCCCTAATTATACATAAATAATGCTAACGGTCGATTGCTTCTCTACGAATTACTGTAAAGTTTGATTATTCACTGTTTATTATAACTTTTTCTCATTGTTTTAATGTTAGGCGTCGAGTTAAATTCCGACGTGGCTATACGTCTTCGGCGGTGTTGAAAAATGAGACGGTTATTGAAGCAGACGGTGCGAGCGTTGTAAATTACCAGACAATGTTTATGCGTAATACGATACTAATGTAATTATAGCAATTGCGAACGAGAAACAGAAATAAAGACCGATATTTTCTCTCCGATACGTTTTAAATACAGAATACAAATAGTAATGAATTTATTGTACGATTAGATATCACTTATTAAATGATTTTTAAATTTCACGTGTTATTTTTAAAAAATATTAAATTCTACACGTCACTAGCCACAAGATTAAATATGTTCACTTGCAGTTCACTGTTTTAAACGGTCGGAATTTTATTGTACTGTTCGTCGAGATTTAATTTCCGATTTGTAACATTTTTCATACTTTGATGGTTTGAATAGTCGTAGTTTCCTATGTTAAAAATATTTTTCCTTTTACCGTTGTATTCTACACGCGACGTTACCCTTATCAGGCGACCTGTAATACACTTGTGGTGGCCAGACCGCAACTGGAAGTGCCGGCGATGATAATCGTTTCATTAAGTCCATACCTACGTTCACGTTGTCGTCGAGTATGTTGGCAGAGGTAGTGCACAGCAAATGAAACAGCTGTTATGTATTATAACCATCACGTGTCCAGCGAAAATGCGATGAATTTCTCGCGCGACTAAGAATTCGAGAAAATATTAGCTGTCGTTTAGTAACAAAGGTATTCTAACCAGGCATAGATTAAAAGGGAGGCTGGAGAAGGCTGCAATGATAAAATTATGGCAATGGAAAAGAAATTGAAGATTAATGCAAGGTGCCTTCGTTGCTTTAAACGTCAGTTATTTTAAAGAAAAAGATTGGTGCGGAAATTCGTTTCATTTTCGTTTTAATTTTATTGGGTCACGAACGGACGACTATTTTCAAGAAACAATGCGACTTACCGGTCACGTTGCATTCCTAAACTTTTCGTACGATTTCCTGGCAGGAAGCGGGATTTTAAGCCGGTCAACGAAACCGCTACTGTTATCAGCTACGCTGATAGTGCAACCGATGTAATGTAGTGCAAACTCAGCTAGAATTTTAAATGCTCGGTGGGTGTGCGGTAGTCGTTCACCTGGGTTGGTTCAATAACCCTTTTTCTCGCGAAAAACTGCTCGGAGGAGACGCTGCCCCTATCCTTTTGTTCGCGAATCCAATTATTTCTCCAATTTGCGCGAAGCAATCCGTACTAAATAAGCAACAAACGCCACGGTATACGATAATAATTAAGAAAAATCGTCGAACCGCCTTCGGACTTGAATTTATTCCTCGAATTTCTTACAGTTATTATCATACAATTTTACTGTTTTATAATAATCAAAATTTAAATTTAGAAGGTATTTCAAAGTTTCTAAGAACAAGGAAACGTAATTAAAAAATTTAATTACTCAACGAAAGCTAATAAATTGCAATATCTTGTAGAAAATATTGCACAAGGAAACGATGTTCTATTTTCGAACATAAATGCTCGAACCTTGGGTTTCTCAATTTTACTGAAAAATCTATCGAACAGTAAGGCGTACCTTGTTTGATCGATTTGTTCCTCGCATACAAGATATTGTCGCTATAGGAACCAAACATTTATGGTCGATATCGAGGCAGAAATTGCAGCGTGATTCCGCGTGTGTTCGGCGAAGATTATGCTTTACGGTTCGGGCATTACGATACGTTCGGTACTCGATTGATCGGTTCGTAATCCGAAAATGATCGAAACTCGGTGTGTGTGCGCGGAAACGAAGACACAAGATGAGGGAAAAGAAGTTTCATTCGGTTCACGTACCGATGGCGTTTATCGAACCTGTAACCTCCCAACTCGATTCATGTATCCACGTGAGTTCCAATAATTATCCATTCTGTCCAGACGTTGCTCCGTTGCTGATAAAATAAATTAATTAGACAAATTTATTTACAATGCTTCGATTCATACTGTTGGGTGACCGTAGTTGTATCCAGTTCGTTGAATTCTCTTGGGAATTGATTTTCCTTGTCGCGGGAGTAACACATTTCGCGGTAGTCTCCGCGCCAAGAAGCTTCTTCGTGCTATAACGATAACAGTCTGCTATTAATAAACGGCGCTGGCGATCGGTATACTCGTCGAAGCTTATCGGTAATGCAGACATTTTTGCGTATGTCACAGTAACCCTTCACAAGATAGGCATTGTTATGCGTGTACACAATTCCCCTCTTTCAGAAATTATTTCAGCCAGCGAAACTCGTTACTTTCCATACTAAATTTGGGAAACGAGTCTCACGTACGTTTCAAAGAAGGAAAATATAATATTTCTATGCGTCTGTCGTCTTAATAAAAATATATATATAATTCGCCGATAATCAGAAAATCGTTAGTACGCGTTAAAAATTCATCCGCGATAGTTTTTCACGCCCCGTAATTGTATTATTCAAAAAGTTATATTTAAAAATCATCGCGTCGTCACGAATATATAAAAATCGAACGTTAATTTTTTAAACCATCGTCGCGACGCTGCAAAAATAACGCTTCAAATTCCATCTTGCGATCTCATCAATGTTTCGATACGATGGAAAAAACGTTCCGGCGGAAAAATAAACGGTCGAAAGTTTCGCTTTGAATATCAGCGACACGGACTTCCAAAGAATAATAAAGAACGACCCAGAAGTCCGGCGAAAATATATGGAGCGTGGCCGATGAAAATTCAGGAAAAAAATGTCGTATGGAAAATTGGGAATTTGAATAAAGGTATGAAAAACGTTGCTCCGAAGAGCGTGCGAAAGCCGATTTCATTGAAATTGAATTTCAAGACGAACTATCGCTACGCGAGCCCATCGAGAACGAGATACGGACGTTTTAATAAAGCGGACGACCGACGGGGCGCGTTTTAAAATGAATAAAACATCTAATTTCCACGAAACGAGTCGAGTTATAGCGTACACGGTATAGCTGATATATCCGTGTGCATCGAATGGTATCTCTTGAACGGTAACTGTCCGTTTATTCCCTCGACTGGACGTCGAAATGCTGCTCTCTCACGCGTTCAGTGCACATCCAGCATCTGAGCGTACCATGTGCTTCCTCTTGCTCGTTTATCTCCTCTTATCGGTCGACGCTCAAGACGTTAGCGCGGAGGAAGTGGACTGCCAAGTTTACAACCATCTTTACGTTTGCCTGGCCAACGGCGTGCTGCAGAGCGTCGCGTTCGAGGATGTCAACGCGGTGCAGACCATCGACGACATAGAATTACACATGGAAAGCCTCGGGATCACCGACATAGCCAAAGACGCGTTCCTCGAGGTCGCCAATTCCTCGGCGCTCTATATTCGCGACAACCAAATGTCCACGATATCGAAACACTATTTCTCCGCGCTGGATCAATTGACATACTTGGATCTCAAGAACAACACCATCAGGGACATCGAGGATGGCGCGTTCATCAGACTGCAGAGTTTGGAGACGTTGCTGTTGGATTGCAACAACATCTCCACGTTTCGACCAGGAGTTTGGAAGGGTCTTGCCGATCTTCACGAACTATACGCCACCAACAACAACATAGTGCTCAACAGAAACATGTTCAGAGGTCTCAGACACCTGGAAACGCTGGCGTTGGACTCGAACGAAATCTCGGAGGTGCCGATCGGTGCGTTCAACGGTCTTCCTCACATCGATCTTCTCTATTTGTCCAGAAACAAAATTTCCAATCTTCAACCGGAGTGTTTCCGCGGCCTCGGCGCGATCAACGAGCTTGATCTCGGTAGAAATCGATTGAAAACCATTTACGCCGGGATGTTTCGATATTTGAAGAACCTGAATTCCCTGTGGCTGAACGGGAATCAAATTTCTACGCTCACGGCGGACGTCTTCGACGGTTTGGACAATCTGTTGCTACTGTTTCTGAACAACAACGAGCTGAGTTTCGTGGACATGTCGGCTTTCGCCAGGATGAAGAACGTCACGGTCGAGCCGGGCTTCGTGATACGGGGATCGACGTTCGATAAAGCTTTCAAAGTGCACGGACGATTTCGGTGCAACGAAGTCGCGTTCGAATTGCCTTACGAATGCACGGAAATCAAGTAAATCGGTTTTCTTATTTTGTTACGCAATCGGCCACGGAAGAGTCCATGGAAATTCGCGACGTGATTCAAGATACGAGTGCTTTTGATAATCATGTAGTTCGTAAATCGTTTGTCGGGCAAAGTTAAAAATGTTTTTAGTAACGAACAAGATATGATTGCACCAATATGTATACACATCTATCGCAAGTGTATTAAAGTTTACAAAAATCGTTCCTATCGTTACATCAATCTTTGCTAATTTGCAATTGTATCGAGTGAAGCATGAAAGAAACACCGATTTTTATATTCCAATATTACTACGGAAATATTATGTAAAGACTTGCTACGATTGCATACAATGTTTTTTGACAGGAAGTGTTTAACCGATAACATTACTTTTGTAATTGTATTTTTACATAATAAATTAATATTGACGACTTATGTAGAATCCCGAGTTTCCGGAGAATATATTATTCGTCGAAACTGACAGAAACCGTAGAGAGACGAAGGATATTTTATCCGATAGAAGTTGTTTTTGCAGGGGTCTTCATGGGATACCGCCAGGACGACAGTCCCCATCCGCATCCTTGTTACAGGAGCACGTCGATGGATTACGGATGGTATGCACCAACAATTCACACCGTACCGACGAGATATTATCCACGAAGCACTTCTTTCAGCGAGCATCAATCGCTCGGCGGAATGTATCGAAATCGCTCCTTGAACACGGATCTTGACAAAAGCAAAGTTTAAGTATCTTATCCATTACTTGCGACCGACGTCCATCTAAAGTCAACTGCTTCCTCCCGCGAAACAAATTCATTCTTGATATATCAAAAGAAAATTTTTTATATGGAACAACTGTGCATGCGGCAGTGTACTGGATAAAATCTTCAAATAAATTTTTTAAATGTGAAAACTCGTCGAAAATATCAGGACTGAAATCGTAATTCGAAACTTGTAAAAAGAAAATTGCACGAACCTAATAATAAAGCAAATAAGAAAATGTGACCGATGAAAGGCGAGGTGGCGATATTAAGAAGAGACCGAAGTATAATATGTTATGTTTATATATATATTTTGTTTTTATTATTACAGTTTAGCTTATGTATCGCAGTAATCGTACTTCAACGGACCCTACGCTGGCCACCCAGGATTACGCGGCGTCCCGATTCTAGCGCGGATTAAAAGTGTAACTCTGCTCGTTACGATTACTGGGATTACTGTTTACGGTTACTAACCATTACCTTCGTTACAGGTTCTTCGTCAGGGTCTGAAAGAACTTCGCCTTACTCGATTCGAGGATTGTTATAACATTTTATAATTTGAGTGCATGCCATTCTTCGATTACGCTGCTTAGTATGTCCATCATAATCGCAATGGTAACTTCAACATATATTTATATATTTATATAAATGTGTGTACATAACACAATGAGACAGCTCAATTCGTCAATGAGTTCGTAATATTTCAATGTCTTAACAACCATAACGAGCTGCGAAACGTTCGACGACGCTTCATTGTCAGGCGTGGCAATATTCTGTTGGTATGCAATGGGTGATAACACCATTCAAACGAAGGAATTCTACAACGTTCGTTCATGGTATCTACTAACGGACCGCGTCAATAATCTCACGGAGATACCGTCGGGAAGATCCATATCGTACGGGTGGGACTCGTAACCTTAAATCGAGGAGCACCATACATTCGAATTCACGCGACTATCTATACACGCGTCCTTCCTTCGATCCGCGTCGGTGCTCGACAGATCTGCAACGATAGTTCGCACGCGATCTAATTCTCCAGACCAGTTCACCCCTCGACCGAGTTCCCGTCCACCCGTCCACCATAACCGTTCGTCCAGGAATTTTTTCCACATCACGTCACGTATCAAAATGTCTTTAATGACGTCGTGTGGAAAACCGAACAAACCTGAGGTACCCAGAATCGACGCGAAAGCTGCCCCTCGGGCCAATCGACGCGATCGATTCCAATAAACCGACGCTATGGCCAGGGGTCTTTACGCCGTACGCTGGAAGTAATCCTCGTCGATCGTAATTCCCACGAAAACGGACGAAGTACGATAACTACGACGAAGCAGCGTTGGATTTGTCAGCACCTACGTACTCCGTTTGCTTAACGCGAGCCCTTCGAATCGTCGTCGGAGCCAATGGTCGTTCCGTCGCTCCAGGCACGACGGGATGACGAGATGTCGACTCGATCCCTGATGAAAATTTAATCAACAGCACGAAATAATCATCGGGCATTTAAGTGTCGTTGACTCCTTCGACGTCGCGTGCGAGCACGAATTCCTTCGATGCTCCGTGAAACGCTGTGCTCGTTATCGATCCCTCGATCGTCGCGCGGGTCTCGATCGCGCGCACCGGACATTCTTCCGACGATGCTGCAGAAGGGGATACAAACTGACAGTCGATGGTAGAATGATCGGGAAACGTCTTCACGATATATCGAAGAACTTTTTAGAGCGATCGGTAACGAGCACCCGACGCGCTTCCGGTCCGACGTCTCTCTGCCTTCCGGCTATACAAGAACCTTATACATCGTACTACTTGTATATCTTTTCTCGAATTCTCAATGTGCTGCACTTACCTACCCCCAATAATCAAATGATGATCCTTAATATCTAACGATGACAGATAGAACTCGCATTTTTTACCCATTACTTAACATCCCTTCCGTTTCATCTTCGTTTTACATGGCGGTTAGATAAACGTTTGCGAATGGTCGCAAAGTCGGAGGATCGGTAAAGAATCGCGCTCGATGGAAACGACACGGCGACGTCGCGATCGCGAGCATTCGTTGTTCGTTCGACGCCCGTACGCAAGATTCTCGAACGTTCGTGTCGGCTTCGGGGTAAATCTTGTCTACGGGATCGGTGAAGATTGGGGATTAAATAGCCACGCGATCGACGACGCAGCGCGCGATCGGGCTGCGCGCGGCCGAGCGATCGATCTCGATTGCTGGAGGATGCAAGCGCCCTTTCCGGTAATACGTTTCCCAGAAGGGCGCGAACGATTTCGAGGGCTCGTCCGCGCGCTATTGCGCCCTTGGATCGTTCCAAGCGATTCCGCGACGCGTCACCCTTCTCGTAATAATACCTTATATTGTCGTACAATTGATATCGTATTATCCGTATAACAGAGGCTCGTCCCGCGTGAACGGTGTCTCCTCTCGGGGATCGAAGAGAGGCGATCGACGATAAAGAGACACCGGGGCCACGTTCGGAGGAAAACGTGGCGCCTCTCGCGCGTGAACGTTCCATATTCGCCACTGTATTATCGCTCTTAACATCCTATTAAATAGCATTCCGACCAATTTACAATTAATTAGACCTGAAACTCCCCTTACACCTTACAATACCATTACGTGTATAGAACGATACGCTGTTTATCTGTTGCTCGTCTGGGCCGATAAGTTATAACTGCCGCGCACTATATTTATGTATGTATATATATAATATGTATATATGTATATTTTTGTGTGTTGTGAATACGAGTGTCAAGTGATTATAGTACATGTGACTAGCACTCATTGAAATCAAGGAGGTAACGTACGGTTACATAGAGCCTAAACGTACACGCTAACCTATGACGATAAACTCACCTTAACCGCTAATTATTCTCGTTACCTTAACGTTCGTTTACACAGAGACACTGATTAATTATAATTAAGGGACCGGCACGATGTCCCACGCCAAGCTTTAGCGCGTGTCGGTTACTCGAATCTACCCTCTCCGTCATTCGTTGTAGCTGTCTCGTAAATTGGTGTTTCGAAATTCGAGACGGGAATAAGCGTCGCGATGATCGACGGATCGGGTAGCATCTTCGAGGGCTCAACGAGTCACTAAATTGGCGACGAGCGCCGCGAACAAAAATCGTCGTCGCGACGCGATACTCTCCACGTGCCCTAAGCGCGCAGGGTCGTTCGATTTTACGCGTATCGCGGCCCTTTTGCGTGATTTTTCGACGGGCCCGCTCGACCGCCGCGGAAAGGAATTACGGAAAGATGGCGGTCGCGCGACGTCGCGGCGTCGCGGCGCGGCGAACGCGTTTAGCTCAGCTTGTCGTCTCCATTTCGTTAGCTTACCTGCACGCGTGTCGTTATCCAAGAATTTCTAATTAGTTTCACGGCATTAAAGTATCATCTATGTACGGCAAATCTTAGCTAACAACGGGATTACACCACACAAGGAATTCTACATAGATTAGCTTGATCTTAAGATTACATCCGGCAAGAAGAGAGAATAGAACTGGGCGATGAAGGATCGGCTAAGAAAACGCCGTGAAAAACTAGGAAAGTAACCTAAGCGAAACAGTTACATTTTTGTGGAACGAGGGAACTGCTAGCCTACTGGTATTGCTGGTACATTGTTACGACGAAATCAAACGTTACCTTGTACACGTAAATACGATTAAAAGGTGATGAAGAGGTATTAACGGCTGCTCACTACACCACACGGGCACTAGAATAAATTAACAAGGTCGTTGTTCTAGGGTCGTTCGCGATCGACAGACAGAACATGCCTGTCGATGTGTTTTGTGTTTGATCGATGGCTGAGCGCGGTCATCTATGCGATCCTAGCGAGAAATCGGCATGAAGTCAAATTTATAAAGTCAACTAATACAATTTTAGACCGATCACTGAACGTTGGAAGCGTCATATTCCTTAAAAAATTTCTTGACATTAATGCTCGAATATTTAACAGAATATTTAAACGAAAAAAATCGATCGTCTTCTGAGATGATCGCGCGACGTTTCTCGTTTCGATATCGTGTTTGCCTTTAAATGGATAATCGCTACGATTCCTCCGGTGAAGCAAGCTGCTAAGTGCTAATGTTACAAGAGTCAATGCCAATGATTCGTCTAGGCTGCGAGCTTGAACCCAGCCTTTTCTAGTTTCTATCCTACCTAGTGCATAAAGTTGCACCCCTGAGATATTCGGTAATCTTTAACCGCATCTACGTATCAGTACAGATCGAACACGTCCTGTTTTGCAAGTCTTATCAGGGCACGTTTACGGCTGCCTCTGACGCGCCGCGCGTTTACAGAGGCGCTCGGAACACGAGGGAGCCGGCGTTCGATCGTGAGATCGTCGTGCTTCTCGATCGCTGATGGGACACGTCGCGAGCATAATCGAATCTCGACTCCCGCGTTCCGTCTCGAACGATTCGAGCCTCGTCTACGCCGTAGACGGGGGGCCCATCGTGATTTTGTTCTCGTTCCGTGTCGTGGCGTCAGCTCCGAAAGCGAGTTTCAACTTTCGTTCTCGAGGACATTTGTACTTCGTCGAGCTAACGCGACTCCCGGCTGTAAAGGTTGCCCGGGCGCGTCACGAACTCGCGCTGTTCTCACTCCGTTTGTCCCTTAAAGTAGGTATTTGTTATCAATATCGGTTTTCGTTTTTGATATCTCGTTTGATATTCGTTCGTACGTCGTTACTCGGATTTCATCGTTGGACGAACGCGAAAGTTTTTAAAATTATACACCTTCGTGGACTAACTCTGCAACAAAGACGGGCATAACTCCTATCCAGATACGAATTTCGATCGTAGAGTGTTGCTTATATTCGAATAAAACGTTGCCCGTCTCTATTCTCGCGACTCTAAACTGGTACTCTCTACTCTCCGCGGATCACTGCTTGTAGAAAGAAATCGTACTTGTAAAAGTGTCGTTAATCGAGTCCGAATAGTAAATCTAAAACTACGAAATCGCAAAGCAAACTTAAGGAAGATTAATCCATAACGACCGATATCGAGAAATTGACATTTTCAAATGAACCTAATGCCTTCGTTCGCTGCTGATCTTTGACACTTTGGACGGTGTACATGCACTTATCCACGATATCGAAGGGGGGGTGAGTAACAAATATCTCGTTGCAATGATCGTGCGAATGCAGTGCGCGTCTCGTATAAAAAGTATAAACAATAGATTTCATGGTTAAGTGCACAGTAAGAGTGTACGTCGAAATCGCGTATTTCGAGCGGGTGAGAAAGGTGACAAGGACACTTAAGTATCAAGGCACATCAAAAAACCAAATCGTCGAACGTCTATTACTTAAAATTAATTCGTAAACGTGGGAGCCTTTTTAAAAGCCACAACTAACCGACTAATTAAATCCTAAAGACTGCAGAACATTCAACAATCAATTGTGCAATACAGGATGGATTAAGTTTACGTCGTCTATTTTATACTCTTCTAATCCCAATCGTCGCGAAGCAATTTATTTGACACCACAGAATTTGGCGCGAGAAACAAAAACAACGCTTCCCTTTTTACAACTCTACGCGTGTCCTACTGCGCTTCTGCAACTAACGAAAGCTCTGTGAAATTATTTTTAATAATTTCTAATTGACCGAAGTTAGATCGAAGAGTGAAACAGAATCGAAAGAAATTAGTTTTGTTCCTTCAAAGCTGACACCACGAGGTCTGTCTTCGTCACAATACGTTAATCAGCCCTTACGCTAATGTAAATTGAGATCATTTGGATGAAGACTTCTTCGTTCTTTCCTTTTCTTCTTCTTCGTCGACGATGTTCCGTCGATCCGTGATTTCGAGTACTGGCTCAAAGAGGTCTACGCGATATAATGTTTACGACAGACACGTTTATATTTGCAGATCATCGGACGGACGTTACGCAAATAGTAGAATGCCCATGTTTCTTCGTTCTCGCGACGCCTTAACCCGCTTTTTTCCTTTTCGCTTCCCGTGTCTAGCTCACGAACCCGTTTATTACATTTTGATTTCGCGGTAATCATCTTAATTCTACGGAGAAACGAACGTTTTTCTTATTTCGTGAATTTTCACCGGCTGGAAAGTCGCCGCCCACGCGCAACTCTCCTCCGCCCCCGACGACTGACGATGCGCGAAAATTTAGGAAAAAGAAACGGTTCGTTATTGGAATTCAGGACAGTTTTCGACATCGAGATGCTCACACTATTCGAAGCAATGAATTTCGAAAGACGTCCAAATAGATCTGCCCGCCGGTCGAAGAATTTTTGTGATCCGAAACAATGTATCGTTGCGAGAACGCACCGGCGAGCCACGGAATAATTTTGTTTCTCTCACGTTCGAGTAACGTTTTCCAACCAACCGTTTTGCGTTGTTCGCATGCACGATGTCAAAGTACTGTCCGCTCTCGAAAAGCTTAATGACTATTTGTGCGCTTAAGATGCAGACTCCGACGATCTCGCTGTACCAGTCGGGCGTCGCGTCGTCGCGACGACAGGCGACGCCCGACGACCGATCCGAAGTCTTTTTCTCTAGCCAAATGTTCTGTATAATGCCCGAATCTCCTCTTTTTTTGTTTTCCTCAATCATTTTGAATGACGTCGGCTTACAAATATTTTAACAATTTTACAAATATTTCACCTGCAAGACTTCCTTCTCCCGTTTAATTTATAATCCCATAAATTTTCTTCTCTCTGTTTCCTTCGTCTTTTTTTTTGCTTTTCTTTTAGAGAATGCTCTATAATCGAAAGTTAAGCCTAAAAATGGTGGATTGCCTGAAGTAAAGTCGGATGAGGAGATGACAGGGGCCTATATGGTACTGTTTCCTGTTTGAATCGAAAACCAAGTAACCGTTCCCGTAAACGAGACGAGAGTTGTGCAGAACGGATACGTCGATGGTAACGAAACATAACCGGACGTTCGGAAAGTATTAATTATCGTTTTAACCTGAGAATTTTCCTAGCCACTATTTAAATGCTGAATACATCGAATACATAGAACCTACATTACTTTTCATTTCTCTTTTTAATATACATAAACGACCACGACATATTTAATCCCCTTAAATTTTTATCACCCATCCCCTTATCGAAACACGTAGCTAATTTAGTTGCAACTCAGGTGCGTGAAACGTGCAGTGAGAATTGATAATTTATTATAGAGAAATATATAGTCGTTAGACTAAGAATGAATAAGAATCAATCTTCGAACGATTTTCGTTTAATTTCGCCAAAATACAAAGGTAGATTAATGTAAGGCTCTAATCGTTAATTAGAAACGTAGGGTTAACGAGTTATGTTCATGTTTATACACATCGCCGTGGACCGTTAGCAAAATTTACATCGTTATAGCGTGTTTCGTGCGAGACACGAGTGTCGTTTAGTCGTGTTCGGTGATCTGCAAATATTTTTATGTTCTGCCTACTTTGCAACCAATCGGAATACGATCATCATACCGTTTCATTCAAATCAGGTTGTAAATCCTAATGTTTCCGATGGAATCTTCTAACGATAATGGAACAATATAGAAGATACGCGACAATTTTTTAGGAATAATTTAAAAAAAAAAAGATCTCTTTTCGTTTAACTTAAATCGTGTCACGTTCGAGGCAACCTTCTTTGTTCCAGTACTTTTGTTCGATGAATTTACATTTCTCCGAAGATCCCAGCGAATGTCTTTCGAAGATTCTTCATGGTATCTTCCGTGTCTTCGCCCTGGGACTGACTGCCTTGTCTGTGGAAAGGCATTCTGGACGTTGGTGGAGGCTCTTCTTGGCGCCGGCTAACCGAAGGAGCGCTGCTCACTGTGCTCGATTGCGATGCTACGAGCAGAAAATTAGTAAAAAATTAATTGCAACCGAATAGGTCAAGTAATTATTGGAGTTGTCGATGAATGTAGGTTCGACGTACCTTGAGAATCGCGTCGTTGCAGTTGATGATGGCTGTCGGAGGTAGTGACATCGCCCGCCAACGCAGTCGTGGACCCTACGGACCCTATGCTTCCTATACTAGCCATAGACCCCATACTTCCGTGGGATCCCAACGGTGCGGGTGGTGGAGCTGTTGTTCGATCTTCTACGGGACTCGTTGCTTGACTAGAGCCAGACATTGAACCTCTGGACGTAGTCTTCGTCAACACGCTCGGAATTCGGCAGCATGCCTAATGATAATAACAAAATACAAACACGTCTTGTACGTAATGATACGTAAACTATTGCTAAAAAAAATTATAGCTGAATAGCTTGAGTTAACGAGATGAAACGGAGATGATTGAAAAATGGCGAGTCTCTTCCTACCTGCATCTTCGCGGTGACGAGGTCTGCGATGTGACGACGATCCTCTTCCTGCGTGTCCCCCATTAACGACAAAGCGCTGTCGTTCACCTCGATTATGTACTCTTTACCATCCTTCCCGACAAGCAGCTCGATCGCACAGATATCCAATCCACCAAACAGCTGGGCCACGTAATCGACCCATGTACGATGTCTTTCGCTCACGGCTAATTGCTCCAACATCGCCGAACCGGTGTTGGACTTCCAGTTTCCGCTTATGCTCTTCCGCCTGAGAGCAGTATAGACAACCGCAATTACCATCCGTGCCAACAATTTCACGGTGCAATGGTTTGCTGTATTCATCGCGGTTGCTCGTCCAATTAACTATCCACAGTGTTGGGGTCAAAGCCACATTTCATTCTCTTAACGCGTCCTGTTTGATTGGTTCCGATTGATTACGTCGATTAGACGTTTTACAGTCGCGCGAGAAACTATGAGAAATTTCTTGTATTTTGAGGGCTGTAAATATTTTGATTGGACTTTTCTGAAATATTCTCACCCTAACGATCATGCAACAAATATTTGACATTTACAAATTGGGGCGAACGATCGGTCGTCGGGTACGTTTGGCGACACTTACATGAACGCCTTGTAGTTATTGCCTATTTTCTGCACGTGCACGTCGTACTTAGTGTCGACGTACGGTTCCGAGGTGGAGTAGGTGTTCGCCAGGGCTGCCAACGAGGCGAGATCTAGAAACTCTTGATTCGTCTCTGCACGAGCTTTCCCTACTCCGCCGTGGGCGTGTCCGAGTTTCACCACAACCGGATAACGAGATGCGCTCACCTGAAAAAAATTAACTCATTTTTCTTACACGAGGAAACGTAAGAAATTATAGAATACACGGTGTGCATAGTAAAGTATAATTTTCCAAATATTCAATTCGATATTGTATCCACGACTTAGGGGGTAGTTTTCACCCGTTGAACATGAACACCAGGAACTTCATAAAAATCGGAGATATTATTTCTTGTCCGTAAGAATCGCGTAGTGGTTGGCGATCGAGAATTTATTTAGCGCGTTTCTGCAACGATCGACTACGAATCGATTGACAATGTGTCGCGTATTCTGCATTCCGTTCTAGAGTCGACGGAAACCAGTCTCCATGGGACGCCTACAGCGATCGCGGGCCTGTCTTCGATAATCGAATGCATTAACCGACATCTGTGGACGAAGATCAAAGTCTACCGATACGCGGGCGGTTGATTAAGCAGTCTACAATATTCGCGTGGGTCGGCGATGATTATTATACGCCGATAAAGCGGTGTGTCTTTGCATCCGCTAGGCGAGGCGCGCGTCTCTAGCGAACCGCGTCCCTGAAACGTATCCTTCGGGTCTATTTTCTGCGTCCAAAGAAAAATACTTCTATCCTAGCAATTCCATTCAAATGCAACGACGCACGGTAGCTTAAAAAGCGGTATTTCTTGGTCGAGCCCCAATTTTTTTCACTCGAAACAGGTCCTTTACCCTATAGAATAGATCAGATTTGTAGACTTTATTTCTGATGTAGTCGTTGAACTGTATAGGATGGTTGAATTTGTAGAAAAAAGCTTAAGAAGCGTTGTTGTATCCCATCCTACCGGTTTCGTTCTCTATAATCAGTAATCACTCACTGAGAGTAATCACTCGTTGAGTGTAATCTTCGTCTACCATGAATCTCGCTTGATTCCCTGGCAATCGAGCCGGGAAAAGAGGGTAAAGACAGCGCGTAAAATGTGAATGCTTTCCCGCGTGTCCCGTTAGCATAGATAACCACGGAATTCCCTGGCGATAGGCAGAAATCGGTTTTGGGAAAGCTTAAGTGGCTAACCCTGGTTAGAGTGAGCCTGAAGAGGGGGTTCCCATTAGTAGAGCGATTATTCAAGCAATTATTGAAATTGTTTTTTCAACAAAAAGTTTTAGAAATACACGAACGCACTTAGGACAGACACTTCCAAATCTACTGTTCGATTTTTGCTAAAAAAAATTGCTTCTAAATTCCAGGTTCGAAAGAGTTAATAAAGAATTCCGACGTTACTCCAATTTTCTTGAACTTCGAAGCTGGTAAATAAGTAGAGTATTTAAAGATATCCACTTAAGTCTGGGCAGGGGCTATAAACAGATACCTACTTTATATGCGCGCGTAATTTCAAGTCGATCGGTTCAGTAATTTCCGAGATATCATGTCGTCGGCCCAGAGAAACCTGCCGGACGGACGGTGCGCTCGAGCAGTTTGACATGTCGGAAAATATGCTATAAAACTTTACGAATATATATTTATCTCAAATAGTTTTGATCATTTTATTATAGACCAATTGCTTTAACGTTTTATAAATACAGAATTTTCAAAATTCATTTCAAATATCACTTTATTCCTTATTGGAAGTTTTTGTCCAGATAAATGTTTGCTCGCGTTTGACGATCGATGGCGATCGAGCGGAGTCAGCTTTTGCAATGTTCCGGGGCTCGATCGTCGATTATCTATAAAGCGTGCTGACATCGAAAAAGGAAGTGACTGTTTAACGAATTGCCCCCACGGGTTCGTGCCCAGGCGCGAGAGACCAGCAGCGCTGATAGGCCGATAGAACAGTGCTCAAACTGTGCGCAACGCACGTGTTCAAACCGTCACGTGGGTGTCACGAAGGTGCCCTCGTGAGCACCGCTGGACGCGTGTCCCTTCCCCTCCTGGTACCGGACACCAACGACGGAGATCAACGGCGAGGGACACGGAGATAAATCATTTATCGTGGCTCAAGGGGACTCTCCAAGACTCCGAGGGCAGACAGGGGTGTCGCCATCGATTTTGTTGCTCGTATTTCGACGCACTAAAAATAATGCGCATTTCACGCCAACGGAATCTAACATTTACAGTAGGCGAGTCGCTATAATCCCACGTAAGTCTCCGTTGGAAAAAGTGAGCTTTCCATAATAAATATCGAATAGTTGCTGGGGCATTTAAACTTATTATGCATGTAACCATTTGATCGAATATGTTATCTACCTCTCGACTGTTTCAAAATCAAGGGGTTGTAATTGCTAGATCTCTATATTATCGAGGAAAGGTGCTCAAATGACACCATCTTGACTCCAAACATATTTGTAGGGATGTTTTATATTTTGGGTCGTTTTAAGCAACATCCAGTAACCAAACGTTTTAACAAAGACCTTGAATCAATACGCCGATATCAAGGTATTGCTTCTTACATTTTACATTGTCGGTCACCCATAACCGAGGCGGCCTACACGGAAACTTTACAGTCGATCATCCGTGACCGACATGGCGCTTAACGCGCCGAAGAAAGATTATTGCAAGCGTGGTTAAAAATAGACGAAAACACGATCAACGGTCTCATTAAAAATATGCCAAAGAGTTCGGAAGCAAGTCGTTCGCAGTTATCGAACCGCGTGTCAAGATACACGTGTTCTTAATTTTGTGTTAATTGTTTTGAAACATACAACTATCTTATCGCTTGTCATCGACTGAGTTAATTATAACGCATCGAAAGAGGGATGTTGGAGGTTTACTTTCCCTTCCTACGTTTTCCCTCGGCCCTGGGTATGGTCACGACAGGATAAACGTTAACTCGCGTCGGGGGCATTCAACGTCGACGGGCCAGAGACAAAATACGAGGTTCGCCCTCCCGTTCGTGTTTCGCGAACGAGAGGATAAAAAAGGCCGCGGACACATTAAATGATAGTAATCGTGGATCAAACGATGATGAGTGGAACCCCCGCGAGCACGTATTCGGGCGAACGAGGGGAGGCAGCCTCGAGCCGACTCCATCGCCGAAAGAGGGGATGAGAAGTATCCAAAAAGAGGAAGAGAAAAAGTTGCAAAAGCATAATAGATCGACGCAGTTCGAAATGAGAGAGGAAGACGACGAGGAACGACGAAACTTAAGTTAGTGGTCTGAACGCGAGAGAGCAGGAGGACTGTGGGTGGCCGGGCGGGAGACGGAAAGTGAGCAAGGTATACCAACGGAGCGAGGCGACAGAAACGGTGGGGGAACACACGCGAGTAGAGGGGAAGCAGAGGGACGGAGAAGGACGGACCAAACGGTTAATGATAACGCGCGACGGAGACGGATGGACCCCGTAGAACGATAGATAGAGAAAGGTAAACGAAGCGAGGCAAGGACGCGTGGAAAGCGGACGAAGGAACGAGAGGAATCGTATCGAAAGAAATAGGAAGGAGGAATAGGTATGAAAAAATATCGTGCACGAAAGAGGGAGGAAGAGGGTGAGGTTGGTCCCGAGGCGGAAGGGAGAAAGGTAAAAGTCAGAAATGGGGACAGAGACGGAGAACAGGTATGATTGAACGAGCGGGAGGAAGACAGAGAGGGGGAGGGAAAAAGGGCGAGCGAGCGAGGAGGAACGGGCGGAAGAGAGACGGGATCCAGCGGCGAGATCGACGTAAGAACGTAGGAAGGAACGAGAGGCTCCCGGTGTCGTGCGCGCTTGCATTGCTTTTCGAAGCTCGCGCGCGAACAGTTCGAGAACGTGCGTGCGTGTGCGCCGATCGAGAAACGCACGTGAATAAATCCCGGATCCGGTACCCTTTCGCGGTCGTGTATCGATCCTCGACGACACTTCGAGGCTTCTCGCGATCGTTGGACATACTCGCGCGAAAGCTCACGGCGACGGTAACTTCTCGCTGGTTCGTTCCGTGGTCCGATAAACGGAGCGTTCGACCGTTTCCGCGATTCGAATCGCGCGGTTTGCCGGTTATCGAAGCATGCTCGAGCGTCTTTGAGGTCAAGGAGAATAACGGAGAGAAAGGCGGGAGTGCAAGTTGAACTGTGCGAGGAAAGCCGAAGCGGAAGGATCTGCGCGGGGTCACGGAGAAAGGTATCTGGCGCGCGGCGTGTGCGCGATTTTCACATTGTACTATCATTCTGCTTCGCGGGCATTTCCGCGTTTCTGTTTGCCCGCGATCCTCCGCGCGACGCTCTCGACCTCCTGCGATCGAGATTTGGTCGAACAAAATTTTACATTACCCGTTTCAAAATAAATAATGAATACTTCAAATTCAATTGGGGGGTCAAAGTTCGAAGTATGGGACCACACTGACTTGCGAAATTTTCATTATAATGAAATCAAACCTTTCCTAGACTTCATAACTGGAGATTTGAGAGTCAAACAAAATTTTTATGGAAAATAGTGGGATGACCCAATGTTTTGAATTTTATATATCAACCGTGATCTAGGATTACGTCGTAGGTCTTATGTTCTCGAGTTGACACGTCGTTTAATAAATTTCCACTAGGTTTAACTTCTACTAGGATCAATCATAAGATAAAGATCGACGTGGAAAAATAGCGATGTCCCTGTATCTGACACTAACAGAACAAGATTAATAAGACCCTTGATATAGTGGTTCGAGTAATTAAGAGGATCGAGTCCAGGCGATTAGGCAATCGTCGAGGTCTATAGCCTAGCTAATAGGTGCCATCTGACACTGGGTAAAACGACCAATACTATGGAAGAAAAGGACTGTCGATATCAGTTCAGGGATCTTGTCTAACTTGTTCAGCTATACTAGTAATCGTCATAGCCAAGTACTTATATTCGACACCTACGTCTAACGTAAACACCATGTTTTGTTTAAGACTAATGATAGGAAACTTAGTATCCTTCGTAATTTAAACCCCACCATCGATAGCGTAAATATTCTCTCTGTTTTCCCCCCAATTAAGGTAGTGACGCATTCCTCTTCTCCGCATAATATTAACTTCTTATCTTACGATTTAATTTCTGATTAAGTGGGCCTCGAACGGACACTTAATTTCTCACACGACGAAACGAACCCCCAATCTCTCCTTACCGATCAATTAGAAGCCCAGAGAACCGTAACTAAAAAGTTTCAAACATTGTCTTAAAAATATTGAGCGCTAACTATCGTATGCAATTAGCTTCGTTACGAGTACAATTCGTCTTTGTTGTGTTTGGATCGTGATAAGGACCACGAGTGTGACTCGATATCGCAGGGCGAGGTTTATGTTCCACTTCGATTTCGAAATCGTCTTGACCAATACTCGATTTTCCTTAGTTTTGTTGCAAATATCCAAACTAAAGAAATTTCTTATCTTTGCAATATTTTCCATGGAAAAATATGGAAGTCAATGTACTTATTTTTGTACACGGTTAAAGTGGCATTAACTACTTGTTAGCATTCGCGAATAAGGAGCAAAAATAGAACACTTCTGCAAACCCACTGGACTTAGTTTCGAGCCATTAAGCTTGAGATTAGATTCGAAGCTTTATTGAACTAGCAATCAAGACGATGACATCACACTTGGCAGCAGGCCAAAACAAACTTTCCTGTTCGTGCACCGAGGAGACGCAGAATAGAATTTCTAGGAACTTCTGTATTGACTTCATCGACAACTTCGATATGGAGTTTATGTTTCAGAACTTGTTGGCAGTACTTTGGCTACGTTGCACAGTGGTCGGAAATCTTACGAACCAAGGAATGCAAACGTTCGCGATGCTATTCTCGTTCTACAATTTCACACGCGTAGAATAATAAAATATAACTTTCGATTTTCCTCAAATGACTCAACTTCAAAATTCTCTGCGATGGAGACAAAACACGGTCGAAGTAACCGGTGACTTTGTGGTCTCAATTTGCTCGCGCAAGAGACTTTCGATCGTTTTGTTTGATATTAGCTTAGCGAAACAATAAATAAATCGGATTTTGACGTTGAGAGAAACACGTTCGGTCAGATTTTGCAATTTTTTTGACCACCGTGCATCGACGCCAAAGCTTGGAAATGGCGGGTTCGAATGGCGCCGTTCCTCGATATTGTTGGTAAATAGCACTGGCGGTCTTGTGCCACGCGTGGTAAATAAGGTGATAAATCTAAACGAGCTCGGCAACAGTTAAGGCGACACGGAATCATTTATGTTCGACTGCAGACGTTGTCGGATAAAAACACATGGTCGGCATTTACAGCTGCGAGACGGGTTCGTTGGAAACGCGAAAACTGCGCGGAGGCGCGGCTACTTCGGATAAGAAAAGTAACATAGGCGAAGACATTTACGATCATTATGTTAATTTCATGAACCAACTATTGTGTCCACTTGGTCGTTCAACTTTGGAGTCTATAAAACCCCGAAATATAAATACAAACGCTCGCTCTGTGGGACAGGTTCTGAAAGCTGATCGGAATTAAAAAGAGTTTTATTACTACTGCAAATGCGGTGTATAATAAAATTACATTTTGGGCTGGATTTGGGGGTTTCTGTTCCATTCCGGCGAAACAAAATTCTCACCTCGTTATATTTCATTATCGTTATGTTTTGTAACTGACAACTCGTTGCATGAATTATTCATGGTTCTAATTAGCCGGGGTTCGATCAATCGTGCCCGACACTGCCGATCATCGTTTCCCTTTGCCGCGACTTCGCCGATCGCGATAACGAGCCTGGCCTATGATAAAGGAAATGGAAATCGTGGTTTGCCAATCGAGCTAGAATAAATTAGCTTAAGGGTGTTTCGTTGTGTCCCAGTACCACTTCTAACAAAAAATTCCATATATTTGCCATTTCTCTTCGCGAAACACGAGGAAATTGAAGATCGCGATGTTTAAAAACTGTCCTACGTTTCACGGGGTCACGAAAATCCGACGATTTATGCTCGCGTAGTTTGAACATAAAACGCGACGGATAACGATCCGAGAAGAAATCTCTCAAAGTATGCTAATGGAATGCTAATAATGTCAGGGTGCCATTACCAATTGCTGTCAACAAGGTGGCAGAATCGATTTAGAAAAACGATACCGGTGTCTCCGATACTATGCATAAATTTCAATCCATTATATTTTATTATCCCAGACGTAACGTACACGACATCGAACGAAATTCCATATTCATGGACAGGCCACCGGTACGCGTTCCGTGCGAACAGATTTTCTCATAAACGTGGCCTCATGTTTTTTTTTTCTTCCCGCGATCAAGAACGGCGAAAGTCCACGCGTTTGCTAGGTCGCCTTAATTGCCATCTCCGGCAAATGAAATACACACGCGTTATTAGACACTACGAATTTACGCTAACGATGAAAAGTCATGCCTGGTAGTCGATAAAATTGGTAATTTGTCATTCTGGATATAATACCCACGGTGGATTTAATTTTCATGCACGGTGTTATTTATTAGGGCAGTGTATAATATCACTTCCCTACTAAATAAACTTTTTAACGACGGGTTTACATAATTCTGCCATTTCATTTAAAAGCTTCGGTAATATTTCAGCAGATGACGATTAAAAATAATTTTAGAAACTTGAACTTTGTAGCTTTCGTCGAATTACTATTTTTATTGCATTTACACGACAGCGGTAATAAAGATACGCGGTTTCCGGGATTGTTGGCTGGCAATAAATATTGCAATTGCAATGCAATAAACGCGAAATGGCTTTATTAAGCGGCGAACGAGTTACGAAGTTTCGTCGTCGACCGCTTCTCTCAGTCCACAATAATAAAATTAAAGCAAGACCGCGTACACAAAGTGAAATCCGACGTTCGTTTCACGAAACTGATGCCCGTGTAATCGAATTCGGTACGCTTCCGCGGAATCGATTTCGATGAACGGCAGGACAGAAAATACGAGAACGCGAGACCAGAACCAGTATCGAAGAACGCAAAACGTACATACCGAATACGAATAAAAAAAAAGAAATGCAAAATGCAAGTATCCATTCCGAACAGTTCGAATAACGATCGATTCCTTTGTGTTGGCTCCTTGCCAAATTGTATCTACTTTGCTAGTCGATAGGCGCCCCTTCGAAATAAAAAGTTCACCGATAGTTTCACTCGAGACGGATTAACCACTAAAATTAACTTGTCAGCGCGATATAAGTTAATTGCGATTTATAATCGACTCGATATAAGGTAAGGCACGTAACTGGAACCAGTTGGCTAGCTACGTAATTACGACCTAACATCTTAATTACCTAACAACTTCTCGTATAGGAAACTATTAATTCCTCTCGATGCGACCGAAGTGAACCTTGAACTTAGACCTACGGTGCGCGGTAATATTTTTTCGGCTTAAGACTCGGGATAGGGCTGTCTCAGCTTGAAGGGCAGGTAAATGAAGTTTAATCGCTCTTATCTCCCCTAGAAAGACCAGCTCGAGGTGTGTTTAGATTGGGGAAGCAAGCGTGAACTAGCAAAAGCAGTTGGGATACGGTCAGAGCAAGTCGAAACTCACGTTTGTTCATCGGTCTATTCCTCGTTAAACATTTCCAAGGCAATTTTTAAATATCATTTAAATAGTCAAGTCGACGGTTTATATTCGGAGTATTCGAACGCAGGAAATAGTCCCAGTCCTGGGAACAGTGGGCGCGACTGGAAAAAGTTAAGAAGCTCTGCTATATAATCAACGACAAACTCCTTGTTCCGGTCGCAAACATTTCAGTTTCCCAGCAGAAACCTCTCAAACGTCAAGTTCTCAGAGGAACGGCAACCGTTACGGTTTCACGTGACGTCCGCGAACCGCCATCGACGACGTTCATTAGAGGCAACTGATTTCCCTGAAGCACAAACAGGAACGAGTAGCCTGAAACGTGTTATAAATCCTTCCAAGACCTCCCCACGTCGAGGCATCGCATTGTGATATGCCGATTAACCAACCGAGGAAGATATAATCCCTCGGGTTCGACTCGTACGGAACGTAATGCATGAGCCATATCGGCGTGTACGATATTACGTTTATTACGCGTTACACCGATACGCTGTGGACCGAGTGGCGCCAACCAGCCGGCCTCCGCGTACCTACGTGTAACTAGGTACAGTGGCTGCCATATTCTTACGCCCAGAGATGCCTAGCATTCTCATCAATCTACT